ATATTCCTTTGCTGCTGAAATTTGTTATTACAAGTCATCTTTTGCCATTCATTCCCGCAAAATACTTCAAATATTTCAAACAATGTTTTAGAGAAGTAAAACATTACATTTACAGTTTGAAGAACAAAATTAAGCCTCTAAATATTAAGAACAAAGAGAAAATACCCAGAGGTTTCTGTTATTTCAACTTAAAGTCAAGATCAGTCAAAAGCAGCATGTCATAACTGATCCAAACAATTCATCATTGCATGCTGGGCCTAAGGCAAAACTGTAGGTTTGAATCAGAAGGATTAGCCTGACACTAATGTGCAAGAACTATAAAAGGTTTCTTTTGTCTCGATCAACCCCACCTATAGAACAGAGAAAATCATAAATATTCTTTCCTATTTTCAATATCTTTACATAGAATTAATTGTATCATATGTAATATTTTTAGGATAGTGCTCAAAGTAACAACCTATAATCTCATTAACAGGCTGAGGAAACAACGGGCAGATTGACATTTAGAATTAATTTCAATAGTTATTTCCTGTAATGTTTATTTCTTAGGCCATGATGCTGCTTCAATCATCTGCACTTTCACAGCACGTGTAAATCTTCATGTTCAATTTTTAAGATGGTTTTAAAAATCTGTCTATAGACATCAACCATACTTAATACTTCCAACTCGCTCATCCAAAAAGAAGCCACAATTAAATGGATACAACAAAGTCTTAGGCCAATAAACAAGACCATCTAAGGAGAGTGGTCAGATTCAAAAAAAATTATCCTGTAGTAAAGTTTTTTCATTATATTTCATTCTCAAAAGAACAGATACTGGTCCAATAAGATGTTAACTTCTATGTACTCTGAAATATTTACACTGATTAGAGGAAAGGTGGAGGAAGCAAGGGGAGGGGGTTTCTAGTGAATTTCTTAGAAATTCCAGGTTGCAGTACTCAAATAGCTCATTACCATGCTTGTAGTTCTTGTGCCAACATCTTGAGCAGCCTCTAAAGATGGCATTTAGTGGTTTAATTATGAGACAAAAAGATCCTAGGGAAATTACAATGTTAATCGTTTTCCTTGGCTATGTCAAGCATATAATGTTTATTTTAAAAGCACCAAATTCACAACCAAATCATTTTACCTTATGACACACACACAAAAAGGTGCATCTTCCTGAATGTTATTTAAAAACTAAACAACTCATATCTGATATCTTCATATAAACTCTGCAATGTCATTAGACTACAGAAGAACGTCTCTCATTATCTTCATACTTCAAGGACATGGTTAGAGCCAATAATTCACACTATGTGGCTACCTCTACATCATAAAATCAGGTATTTGGTTCAGTGAAAGCCTCACCCTTAGCAGGTGATACTAATGAAAAGAAAAGCACTTGCTCTGTGGCCACAGGTAGGTTATCTAATCTTTCTGGACCTCTGCTTCCTCACCTATAAAATAGGGTAATCTAACATCCTACATTATAGTGTACAAAAAGGATTTAAAAACATGTAGAAGTTCTTTAAACATGTTTAAACATCTTTAAACACTACAAATATAAAAAGCAGCTAGCATGGTGGCTGGCGCATAGTAGGCCCTCAATAAAGGTTAGTTAACCTTACTCCTCTTTAAAACTAAACATTTAAGTGACATTATATCTTCATCTCTGAAACATGAGGCTTGAGTGAGAATGAAGACATATTTGTGAATAAAATGTAAAAGGTCTAAAAGAGAAAGTCTACTTGGCTCCTCTGATTAGGATTACTAGAAAGAAAAAAATTTGTGTTAAACAACTATGTAACTTGGTAAGTTTTAAGAAAGCAAAGATGAATGCAATATAAAACAGAAGTGATGAAGGGTAAGGGGGCCAAGGGAGCCAATTAAGGACAGGTTAATAGATATTTTTAAATGTTTCTAAAAGGATTTATCAATATATCATAGCTGTAATCAAAATGTTGGTGCTGGAAACTTGATGCTTAGAAGGAGAGAATTAACAGGGCAAAAACTGACACATTCAAACCTCAAACTTAATCTAAAGACTTACTTTGCTATAGGAGTATCTGATTCACCCTAACTAACCAAGTCAGAGACCTAAAAAATTACTAATAGTAAAGCTACTTACCTTTCCCCTTGCCACCAAGCAAAAAGTAATGCCTTAGGGCTAAATGACTGACATCAATATAAGAAAACAGCAACTCTGGATATCTCTATTTTTACTGAGATAAGAACTTCCTGAAAAACTTCCAATTAACTGAAAAATTGCCAAAGACTAAATTCTCCAAGTATAAGACACCATATGATCACTGATTCTCACGACACTATTCAAGAGATTCTTCCTGTTTATACACGAATCTCCAGTCTCATAAAAACCACTTTCTAGTCCTGGTAATGGTCAATTTCTAAAAAGTTAGAAAGAAAAAGAGACTCAAACTTATATCACCTCTCTATGCTTTGGTGGAAATTTTTAAAATTTGAAAATCACCAGACTTCCTATATAGCAATGATAAATATGATAGAACTTTTCACTGTATGTTACTTACAGTATAAACTTCTGTTATATCCTAAAGATGAGTTTTGTTTGTTGGCTGGTAACTAGGAGCACTGAGACCAAAAATCCCCTGAAATTGTATGTAATACTGTATATACATTTTATTTGGGGGAAAGAGGGTATAAAAAGCTTTCATAAAATTCTCAAAAAGGTCCATTGATCCCCCACTCCCAAAATCACACTGCCTTAAGAAAATGTCAAATCTGAAGACAGGAACACCATGCTAAGCTATATGCAAGGAGTTATCCTGGCTTGTGGTGACCAAAATTACCTAAAGGCTAGCAAGAATTACATTATTAATAGACACTGAGAGATTTTCTAAGTGCCAACACATATTAAATACTATTCCTTAACAGAAACTATCACTCTATTATTCACAAAGCCATTTGTTAGGAAAGGTGACAGAATAAAGAGTTATCCAAGGAAGTGATTTTTCTTTGATTTCTTATCATAAAGTTCACTACCAGGCAATTTGATGCCTGTAAGTCTTCCATGAAGAAAAAATTTTGTCTCAAATCAGATAACTAAATCTGAATATACTATGATCAGTATAACTTTTTTTGAATTTCAGAGTTACATAAGCATTATATAATTCATTAGATCCTTAAATCTAGATAGAGATAAAATCTCTTGATTTAAAGACTCAATACTTCTTTGGCCACTTAATTTTTTTTCATTACTTTCAAATGTAGTGGCTAGGAGTCATATTTTCTTTTTATGGTAGCAATAATAAAAACAGCTACTATTTATTGACCATCTATAGTGCTTTATATGCTGTGCTAGACACTTTACACACATCATTGATTCTTAGAACATATCTTAAAGATATGAAAAATGAGACTCAGAAAAAGTTAAGTAACCTGCCTGAAATCACACAGCTAGGAAGCAGCAAAGTTAGCATTAGAATCAAAGCCCATGCCCTTCTTTATCTGCACTGCATGATCTCTGCATTTCACAAAAATTCAGAATAAAGTATACATGTGCCTTCAAAGAGAAGCAAGTTCAAGGGAGTACTGAATATAAATGAGTGATTTAAAAAATACCTAAAGCATAAGAGGCATTCAGAAGGGGATGATTAGCAGATATCAATAACCTATATCTTACCTCCAACCCTAATATACCCATGCAGACCTACTCATAAGCAGCTCTCACTCCACAAAGAACTGAAATAAAGGTAAACCTAAAACAGGTTTCACATTCTAAATTATAACAGAAATGTTCCCAAAAGCACCAGCATAAAAGAAGGAAAAGGAGGTTGACATTGTGTGGCAAAGGTAAGTATTTTACAGGATTTTAAGTAGATACTGTTGAGGATTAGGGAAGGGATGGTAAAAGAGTAGATGAAAAAGTTTTGTTTTTGTTTTTTAAAAAGGAAGCCAAAGATAGAAAAAGCAAGTGGATGAAAACAAAAATTACAGAATAGGAAGATAATATTCAGTACAAGGCACAACATAAATATACAAAAGAATTAATTTTCCTTTACAATCTTGTATCATTGCTCTGCTTTAAAGAGCACAGTGGGTCTAGTAGGATACTGATTCCTAACTTTGCAGAATTGAATAGATTCACTCTAATTAGTGATTAGAGCAGAATTCTTCAGAATAGGTTTTCAATCAAAATGTGGTTCCAAATATGGTGAAAGAAAAAAATAGGAGGTAAGCAGAGTTGGAAAATTTAAAGGTACACAATTAAAAATGTTAAAAAGTAGCCACTATGTTTCATTGAGATCATTCATCAACATCTCCAAATCTTATTCATGGATTTGAATTATTAGAATATATAAAAATTAACTATTCTTTTATTCTCTTCTTCTACCTATATTTATTTCAGAAATTATAAAAAACAAAAAACAAAGTTCTGAATCCCTAGAATTACATCCTTTCTTAAATACTGGGAAGTGAAATTAAATATCAGCAATCCTTTCACGGAACAATCTCACAAAGGTAGAGAAAAAAGCACATGTCCCAGCAATAAGACAGGAGGTAACTCATACCTACCTTCCAAAGACCTAAAGGCCTATCGGGGTTTCACTTTGTCACTGTCTACTTTTTATTCCCCTTAGTATTGCCATATTATTATTTATTGCTTTCTGGTTTTCACCTATAAGCTTTCTGAAAAACAGAACATACATTTGGAATTTCAGAAAGAGTGAAAATCTGAATTCTGAGCTTTTAAAATTGTAGTAAGTAACATATTTCAACCCTGGAGTATTTATTTTATACTCACAAATACAGATTTTATCGAATAGATCAAAAAAAGTCTCCAGAAAATTATTCTGAATTCATCCTCCTTCTAAAATACTAAAGAATGAAAGTGAGATAAGGAAAAGATAAAATAGAAGCATAAGAGCATGATGGTTTAGTGAGCAGGCAATAGTTCACTAGTGGACAGTAGTTTATTGGTTTCTCTCAGCAGTGAAGTCTCTTCCTCTTGGGCGGTTTGCATTGAGTTTGCAGCTGCGTACCTTTGGTGGTATCAGATATGCTATTTAACAAGGCACACATCATATCTCCCTCTAAGTGGTGAGGGTTTAGTATATGAGCTGGCCTCTGAGTCTTCTTAAATTGATTCTCCAGCTCCAGAAAACCTTGATCTCCTGAGAGGATGGTGAAAGGAATCTGCTTGGGTAGCTGTTCATCTAGACGGCCAGCCTAAGTTGGAACAAATGTCATAGGTTGATAAAAATCAGCATGAGTTTCAAAACAAGTTATATCTGTTTCACAATGAACACATATAAAGGATGGTATATTAAGTTTGTTCCCTACTTCCCACCAAAGTTGATATAAAGATGTCCTTCATAAATGAAATATATCACATTTAATCAAATATAAAATGCCATCAATTATAAGATATTTTATGTGCCATTAAGGAAAAAACAAAAGCCAAAAAAGAGGTGCAATAGGAGGCCCCCACATAAAGCTGGAACACCAAAGAGCTACATGCTCAATGTAAAGGTAAATAAGAAATAAATCTGACAAAGAGAAAAGGTAAGCAAGATCATTTGCATAATTCAATCTTGGCACTGGATAGAAGGAAAAAGAAATCTCTGTGGTTTAAACCATAACCAGCAGTCAACAAGTTTGCAGAGTACATTCACATTATCAGTGTGACACATAAGCCCTCAAGCAGAGAATTTAATTTAAAGTAGGTCTCAGGTTGGTAGTTTCTCTAGGTGACTGGCAGAGGCAGAAGCAAATGCAAATTCTATCTAGGCCAACCGTGATTGTTAAAGTCTCTCAATTTCAGAGATGCTAAAATGTGAAAGTGTTTTAGCACACAAGTACAATATCATCTCTTGATCATTTATTCCATAAGTAATTGAAGGTCTACTATGTGTGGCTGAGGGTCTGCTAGGAGTTGGGAATAAAGTAGTAAATATGCTATGGGCCCCTACCCTCACAGTAGTCCTAAGTAGAACCTGATGCAGAAGATTTTATACAAAAATATAATATTGAAGAATCATCTATACACTGTCATTACAATTCAAGTAGAAAAAAAACCAAAGTGGGTCTTACATTCACATTAGCTTTGGAATGAAACAATGACTCACATGCATACATATGGCAAAATCAGCAGCATCTTTTCTTTTACTACATCGAGGATGAAGGAAGAAGCACCCAATCCTGTTCAGGTAATTATAGATCTTACAGTTCACTGGAGGCTTCCAATTGGTGTTTCCTCCTATTAATTTTAGAAAAGACATAAATGATAGTCAAACAGAAGAGGAAAAAACTGAAAACTGTATCAAGGAAAAACATATACTAGAAAAAAGTTTTTCTGGAGGGAAAATACTAGATTAGAATGTGGGAGAAGTCAAGCCTAGCACAGGGATCACCATGTGCTTTAACAACTTGGGAAAGCAGACCAACTTCCCTGAATATACCTACTCATCTGAAAACTCAAAGGGATATTAAACAGAATAAAAAGTAGTGTGTGAGAAAATTATTTGAATGGCATCATTCTGTATGAATGTAAGCATCAGTGGTTTTACACATATTTCAAGGCTGTTCATGATGGGTAATTAGCAAAACTAGGCTTACTAAAACACTGTACTAGCTAATTTATCCAAGTCAGTATGTTTATTTTTAATCCCAATCCTCCTCTTTACATGCTCTTGCCTATCAAACATGAACTACAGTAGATTGCTCACTATATTAAACCTCTGTAAACCAAAGAAGCCTCTCCCCCAGGTTTGGTCAATGGTTTGTAAAGAGATTTAGGTGAAGTTGCACGCTTACGAATAACAAGCATGAATTGAAGAAGCAGTTACAGCGTGTTAAAAATAATACCAGTCCTGTAGCTAACGACCAAAGTTCAAAAGTTAACTCTGCTATTTATTAGTTTTATAACATGGGGAGGGGGGAACACTTCTCAGCCTGCTTCCTTATATTCTAAAAGGTAGAAAACCATAATAATCAGTAGCCATGATGTTAGTATCAAGCAATAATGCCTGGCTCATTGTATGTGATGAATGAGGACTTTTTCAATGTGTATCAAAAGATTCATAAACTTTAGGCCACTAAGTACAGCTAACATTTACCAAGAGACATGTAAAGTGAAAAATATTCTAGCAGAGTAACTATAAGGCAAAGTAACAATACTCCCAATTATGTTCCTATGTTCTATTCAGGAAGGTTCAAGAGGAGCCTTTTAAAGTGAACCATATTCTAAGGAGCAAAAAAAAAAAGGTTTTCGCAAATGTTTTCCTTATTCACCATACCTTGAAAGCCCCAAATAAATGTTCCTTGGTTAAGATGCCCCGGTAGATGACCAAAAAAGTTTGACCAATTATCAAAATCTACAAAGACTATATGAGTCATGGTTCGCAAGTAATCCAAATCTGGAAGCTCAACAACTTCTTCCTCTGAGAAGAGAGAAACATTAACATGAATTCTGCAAGAATCTGCTTAAAATAATCTATTTTCTCAAGTCTAAAAGATATTAGAGACATAATAGGGAAAAAAATTTATCTTGCATGTAATTAATCTCTATCTAAACCTTTTTGTGAAACCCAAATTTGTACAAGACACACTTCACACTTAGATAAAAAAAAAATACAGAATCCTGAAAATTTCATCAATTATATATCCTTTTCACAAACATCTGCCATTACAAAAGGAATTTTTTTAAAAAAATTAATGCACTGGAAGTATTGGAAGACTAAATTTTAAGGATAAATAACCAAAAACTTGTTCCATCTATCAAAATAAAATTTCATGGTTACCTGTTAAGAATGGTCTTGCCACCAGAATTTGGTTCTTTTCCTAGTCTAGACTGACTTATTAGTTGTCTTCTGGCTCTATGATTAAAAATCCTAGAGAGCAGAAATAATATAACCTACAACCATGCTGCCATAAAGTGGTGCCAGAAATAGATGCCAGTGGCACATTAGTACCTCGCACCATAAACACATCTTTCTTGATTTTCTCAGGTTCTTCTTTCATCTTCCCCCATTCTCCGACTCTCATTCTCCATCCCCTTTCCCTTGTTTCATACTTGTTCACCTTGACAAGGCCTTAAAGTTTCCATTCATAGCAATGCAAACTTTAAGATATTAAATCATTTCTAAAATGAATAGTTTCTACTCTGCCTAACAGAAGTTCCCTCAAATATACTACTGGCATCCCCTCCCACTTCCAAGCCACCTTATATCTCTTCTCCAAGTTCTCAGTAATTCTAGATTTAGATACTACAATCATCTTCTACCAAACACAGACAACCACAAATTCTCAAAAAGTAATCAGAAGAGCAAAAGAAAAGCATAAGAGAACATAAAATGGTGTGACCACTATTTGGAATAGAGTTGAATGGGTATTACATGATATAATGCTTTCTCACTGAAAACATGCCATGACTAAAGGTGATAGTGAGATCTACATATGCTATAGAACAGGTTTGTAAAAATTTAATAATTCATAAAAATATTTTGTTAGCCAAAATATTTGCATATTCTGTCTCCACATTACATTGTATAACTCACCCTGAGTTAATATTTTTGTAAAAAGATACAGACTTAAAATTATACTCGAAACAAAACAAATTATACTTCTAACCAAAATAAAAACATTACATTCTTCTAAGTTTAGTTAATCCTATCATATGGAAGAACAAAAGTCCAGATTAACTGCAAATGAGGAGATTCATACCTCAATTTTCCCCCGGTTTCTTGCTACTACTTTTAACTGTAGTCTGTGTTAAAGTTTTGCTTCCAAGTAAATCATAACAAAAATATACAAATGCTGACATGACCTTTAAGATTTCTCATACTTAAAGAATAAGGCCAAACAGAAACAAAAAGAATTCACCTGATTTATCTTTTTTTTTTCCTTTTTGTCTTTTTTACTGACCGGTAATGGGATCGCAACCCTCGGCGTCGCATCCACACCACGCTCAGCCAGTGAGCGGAAACTGGTCTCCACATGGGATCCGAACCCTTGGCGGGAGCGTCGCCACACTCCCAAGCGGCGCACTCTCCAGTGCGCCACTGGGCTGGCCCCCTGATTTATCTTTTTTTTTTCCTTTTTGTCTTTTTTACTGACCGGTAATGGGATCGCAACCCTCGGTGTAGCGCCCGTACCGGGGACTGGCAACCAGATCGCAACCCTCGGTGTAGCGCCCGTACCGGGGACCGGCAACCGGATCGCAACCCTCGGTGTCGCATCCACACCACGCTCAGCCAGTGAGCGGGAACTGGTCTCCACATGGGATCCGAACCCTTGGCGGGAGCGCCGCCACACTCCCAAGCGGCGCACTCTCCAGTGCGCCACTGGGCTGGCCCCCTGATTTATCTTTTTAATGAACTTAAATATTATACCAAAAGTCTAAATGATAATAATGTCCAGGATAACTTTAAAATCCAACTTTCAGAAAAATTAGCAACTTTCTTCATCTCTCAAAATCCCCATACCTTTTGTAAAAGAAAAGAAAATGGTATCTAAAATACATAATATTTAAAGCTAACATATACTCTTTGTCCCCTTAAGTTGAGAAAGTGGATGAAGTAGTAGGAATACAAATCCCTTTAAGTATATGCTGCAGTAATTAGCTTAATGTATCATTCTATCATGTTTCATGTTTCTTGCTTCAAAACTGAATCACTATTAGCTTCTATAAAATGGTGGACACATTGTATGTAAGTTTCTATATTAGCATGTGAAAAATCTGCAGAGTTGTAAAGCCATACCTATATTCTGACAGCTTAGGTCATTCTCGGCTCCTTTCTCCATCTCTGAATTTTTTGGATAACTTACTGCCTGTTTCAGTTTTCTCTCTGTGCGTGAGACACTGGCAGTAAACTTGTACAGACATGCTTTTTCAGATCCAAAATGAGCCACACTGGGTTTCTGTAAGAAGCAATGTTTTCTATGGAAGTGCTGCTGAGCACTCTCAGGATCATGAAATGTTTTGGTGCAGGTGCCACATTTGATTACATGCTGCTGCTGCTCACTCTTTTCTTCTCTGTGCACTTGATGGATATGAGTGTTCATGTCAGCTAAATTCTGTGCTGTTGCTGAACACAAACTGCAGCGGAACCACAGTTTACCTTTATCCAGCATGGTTTGGAGACATCTACTATAATCTTCCTTTCTGTTGACTTTACAGATGTAACTCTCACGGCAACCACACGTTAACAGGTTACTGGTCTCTATTACTGGAAAATCATCCTCAGTTTTAATTGAACTTTCAATTTTTTCCGACACAAACACATAATCAATGCTGTGGTGCTCCTCATAATGACTCAAAAATGCTTCTTCCACATTAAAGATCAGAACACAAAGCCCACAAAAGTATTTAATCTTTATATCATTGTCATGCTCATCTTGACAATGTCGGTATAATGTTTCTATTTTATGAAAAGTCTTTCTGCAATGGGCACAGCTATATCTATGAAACTTGTGACTTGCCAAGGACATGCAGTGCTGTTTTACACATTCCTGGGAATCAAACATATCTTCACAAATTCGGCACTGCCATTTGCCCCTTAGAGGACTGTTTGCTGGGGAATGATCGATAATAGTAATAGTCGAGGAAGGTTCGTTAGCAGTCAAATTATTTACCACTGCCGTAGAAGATGATGGTAAAGTTTCACTTTCTACCTCATCCACCTCATAAAAATATCTATGTCCATTATGAAATTCAGTCACATGTGCCATGATAGTATCTTTCCTTGTTAACTCCTTTTTGCATGTCCGACACCAGAAAAGAAAGTTATTTAAATGTGCCCCTCCATGAATCCGGCTCATATGTAAACGGATAACTCCTGAATCTTCACACACCTTTCCACAGACCACACACTTATAACACATTGTGTTTGCTGAGAAAACATGCTTTTCTACTGCATCTTCACTTGGGAATCGTTGATTGCATTCACAAAACCAGGTTTTAACTACTGACTTTTCTTTCTGGATGCAAACCACACCTTCATGGCTTTTGTCTTGTAAATTCTTCTTCTTTTTTGGAACGATGCTGTAATCCTGTGAGCTAGATTCTTTAATAGACATAGTTCTTTTAAGAGATGAAAATTTTGATTGATCCAACAATAAATGCAAGTCAGAAGGAGGTCTGTTCCCTTCATTGCCGTGGCAATAAAGTAAGACTGATTCTTCCATTGAGTTAATGACTCGGATTTTGTGTCCTGAATTCTGCTTGTGATTTTGGGCACTGGTTTCATCCACAAAGACTTGGTTGCAATTTGGACAATAACCTCTTAACATGAACTTCTCTGCAACCTGGGTGATGCTCTTCTCAGCTACAGCTACAGGACCAGCATTTCGACAACGAACTCTAAATTGGATAAAAAATAAATAAACTCTCTCATAAGAACCTTCTAAATATACCATATCTCTGCTTTTATTTCAGGAATTATGAAATAATCAATGTATAAATAAACACTAAAAGATACTTTTTAATAAATATGCAGATAACATAATATTCTATCATCTCAAAACACTTGAGTATTACCTACATTTTGTCTATTTCTAACCCATATACAAAAGGATAAAACTAGAATCAAAATATTTTTTAAACTTCAGGCAAACTTTGGAAAGCTAAAATCAGTATGAAATGCACTGATAGAGAACCTTATCAGACAAGCAAATTGTTACTCTCTATGGTAATCAAACTCTATGGAGAAACACCATGGTAAGATTCTAGACAGCATAGTACCTGTTCTTTAAGAACTGATTGATTTTATGTCAAAAATATGCCATGCCCATAGATTCTTTTGCACTCAAGAACTAGGCTCAATAAGAATACACACTATTCCAAAAATTAACTCAAAATAAATCAACTTCTCTAGGGAAATGAAAAATGGAACAATTATGCTTCAACTATCTTCCCTTCACTACTAAACTCCAAAGAGAACAGACCTGTTGCCATTCTATATATTTAAAATATATATATATATATATATATATTTTTTTTTTTTTAAAAGATGACCGGTAAGGGGATCTTAACCCTTGACTTGGTGTTGTCAGCACCACGCTCAGCCAGTGAGTGAACCGGCCATCCCTATATGGGATCTGAACCTGGGGCCTTGGTGTTATCAGTACCACACTCTCCCGAGTGAGCCACCAGCCGGCCCAATATATTTAATATATTTTAAAAGAGAAAAATTATACAAAATATGGTCTCTAATTATACTAGAATTGAAAAGGAGAACTAATATTAAAAATCCCTAAATGTTTAGAATTAAATCCCTAAATGTAAAATCCTTAAAAGTAAAACAACATATTTCTAATTAACCTAGAGGTCAAGAAAGAAATCAAGAGAAAAGATAAAATTTTTTTTAAACATTTTTAAACAGCTTTATTGACATATTCACATACCATATGTCACCCATTTAGAATGTATAATTGCAATCATTTTTCATATACTCACAGATATGTGCAACCATCACTACAGTCAACTTTAGAACACTGCATTATGTCAAAAAGAAATCCTATACCCTTTAGCTATCACTTCCTTTTCTCCCCATGCTCCCCAACCCCAAGCGACCACTGAGCCCTAAGCAACTACTTTCTGTCTCTATAGATTTTGCTGTTCTAGAATTTCATATGAATGGAATTATATAAGTGGACTTCTGTGACTGTCTTATTTCACTTAGAATGTTTTCAAAGTTCACCAGGGTTACAGCCTGTATCAGTATTTCATTCCTTTTTATAATATTCTATTGTATGGAGATACCACATTTTGTATATCCATTTAACAGTTCATAGACATTTAGGTTTTTCCTACTTTTAGGCTATTATATATAATGGTGCTATAAACAAACATCCAAATCTTTGTGTAGACATATGTTCTCATTTTTCTTGGCTATATACCTAGAAGTCGAAATTGTTGGGTCAATATGGTAACTCCATGTTTAACCACTAGAGGAAGAAAAAGATAAAATATTTTTAAATGAATGTAAAATGAAAACACACCTTATCAAAATCTGTGGATGCAGGTAAAATAGAGCTTAGAGGGAAAACAAATCTTTTGCCAGATTCGTATTTAGAATATATAAAGCAACCCAACTCACTATTAAAAAGGCAAACAATCAAATTTTTAAAATAGGCAAAAGCCTTGAACAGACATTTCACAAAGATAAACAGATGGCCCATAAGGACATGAAAAAGTGCCCAACATCATACATAGTTCATCAAGAAAATGCATATTAAAACCACAATGAGACACTCACAAGAATAGCTAAAATGAAAATGACTGGCAGTATCAAGTGTTGGCAAGGATGACGACTAATTAAGAACTCATAACTTGCTGGTAGAAATGTAAACTGGTACAACCACTTTGGAAAGACGTTTAATAATTCTTATAAAGTTAAAGATACACCTACTTATGACTCAGCAATTCCACACCTAGATGTTCATCCAAGAGAAATGAAACATGTCTACAAAAAGACTTATACAAAATGTTCATAAGTTTTATTCACAATAGCTATAAATCATAAACAACCTAAATGTGTCCATCAACATGAGGACGAACAAATTGTGCTGTATTCATAAAATAGAATACTACTTACCAATAAAAAAAGAACAACATACTAAACAATATGGATAAATCTCAACAGATATTAAAACAAAGACAAAAGAATACATATTACATGATTCCATTTACATGAAGTTCTAGAGGAGATAAAACTAATGTAAGGTGTAAAATATACCAGAATAGAGATTGCCTGTAGGTGAGGGGGTGGGAAATGACTGGGATGGTACACAATGGAGCAATACATATTAGGATAAGAGTGTGATTTAAATAGCTGTATCTATTTGTCCAAATTGTAAAAGTTAAGATTCATATACTTAATGAACTTGAAATTTTATTACATACATTTTTTTTTAAAGTAGAGTCCTTATTTATAGATACATACTAAAGTATTTACAGATAAAATGATATACTGACTAGGATTTGCTCCAAAATGATAACTTGTAGATGGTAGATGTATAAATGAAACATGTCTGTCATATGTTGATAACTACTGAAGCTGGGTGAAAAGTACCCTGGGATTCATTCTACTAGTTTCCCTACTTTCATATATTACTTAAAATTTTCTACTGTAAAGACAAAGAAAAATATCATACTGGAATCCTTCTTTATTGCTTGATATATATGGCCCATCAATGAGATTTAATCTCTCACATGTATATGATATTTTCCATTCTTGTTGACTTAAAGCCAAGGTTCTATTTTAATTCTTTCTTCCTCTACTCATACTCAGAACATACACAAAAAACCAAAGACAGAACTTAGAACTGTTAGCTTGTTTTACATTCATAGCAATATCAATATATTCCCTTTTTCCATACCTCTATTTTCTCTCACTGTGCTAAATTTGGTAAATTTCCAGGCAAATGTATATTTTTATTTTAAAAGGAGAGAAACATGATACAGAAAAGTATTTGTTGAATCTTCCCACTGATGAAAAGGTCATCAGGATTTCCTTCCAAGAGTAGACCTGTACAAACCTGAAATGGGCAGTGAGCTCCATGTGGGAACGCAGTGTCTGGTGGCAGGCCACACACTTAACTTGAAACGGAACATCTCTGCAGAGAGAGATCAAAAGTTTCTTTGCAAAAGATGGAAATGATATTGGATGCGCTTTTCCCTTGTCATCTGAAAGGCAAAATAAACTATAATTTGCAAAGTCATTTGAGGATATAGTGACCCAACCTTCTTTCCCTTTGACTTTCTCAACATCAGTTGAAGTAAAAGAACATAGTTATTTATGTGATAAAAATCTAAGGGAAGCCATTTTCTAGCCTTAAATATAAAGGACGCTTTACACTCTCATTAAATGGGTATTAAATGCAGAGGAATCCCCAGTCTGAATAAATGTTTTCTTCCCAAGTTTCTCTTCACTCCTCAAAGTAAGTAAACCTTACTCATAGGTACAAGTAAATATTGACAATCTTTTTTAAAAAATAAGAATTGAGATTAAAAAAATCTTTCATTTTCATGGTTCTAAAGCTAACATGAGGATAAGTAGCCTCAAGAACCTGAGAAGTATAGTAAATCAGCAAAGATTAAAATTGTTTAATAATTTTCAACATAAAAGAGTATTAACATACCACCCAGTTTAAAATTCTGATGGAAATGATTCTTTCCAGACATATGCTTCACACACTCATCCTCGCTGCTAAAAAGAAGAAAGCAATTTGGACATGCAAAACACTGAATAATCTGAGGAAGAAGGTTGTTGCTATGTCCATCATCTGCAGCTTCCTAAAATATAAGGCAAAGCCATATTATAAACAACTAAAACCAATACTTAATTTCTTAAAATCAACTTTCAAAATTTGTTATTTACTTGGAATATTACATACCAATTTTTAACGTGAAAATTTTTCTTCTCTGAGTGTGAATTATGGAACTTTTATCATAAATGAGGTCACATGTGAAATTTTATTTTATTTTTCTTCAAAAACAAATCATGGCCATTTTTTTGTGATAATATATAAATATATTTCCTTTCTATATATTTTTCATTTTTACATACATTCATATATACTATATAAATGCATAAATATGATCACATCACATACACTTTTTATAATGTTTTGCTTTGTGTACTCTACCCTGCAATATAACCAATGTTTACAAATATGTATTCTTCCATACATTTCTCCACACTGAATCCTTTACAAAATATATAGAAATAAATATACAAAGGGGAATATCACTGTTTTATCAAATACTGTTATCTAACAGACTCTTCTATTAGTTTTCTCATTCCATAATACCTAATGAAAATCCCTAAAAATCAACTGGTATAGCTCTAATTCATGCTTCATAATTGTTGCAATCAACTCCATTGTGTGGATCTATTATGATTTAGTCAACCATTCATTTCTAGCTGTTTTTGTGGTTTTGGTTTTTTTCTCCTCACTATCAACAGTGATGTACACTTCTTTGAATATATACCCCGAATTACAGCTGCTTTTTTTCTCTTTATCAGGAGTGGCTTTATAGGGTTAAAGGGTATACTTGGATAATAAGATACTATATGACCACTTTTCAAAAAGGCTCTACCAATTCACATACCTCCTGGCACTGAATGAACTTGGCAGCAATAGATATTATGGATCTTTTTCATTTCTGCCAGTCTGACATATGTGATATTCATTGTTACTTTAATGTGTATCTTCTGTCTATAAGTGAGTTTGAGCATTTATTCATACATTTATATGGCTATCTGGATGTGTTCTTCTGTGAATTTCTTATTTATAGCCTTTAGCTTTATTTTTCAATTGTTTTGTTTTCTCCCCTTCTAGTCAACTTCTATCAGTCCTTTCCTATCAAAATTAATTCTTTGTCTCATCCGCATTTTGCAAATATTTTTCCAAACAGCTATTAATTTTATTTACGGTCACTTTAAATTTTGATATAGGCAAATAAGTATATCTTCTCCAGCATCTAAGATCCCAAACTTGGTTAAGAGCCTCCTCTATCCTAAAACTGGAAATTAAAAAAGAAAAGTGTCTATTTATTTGTGTATGTACTAGGGTACTTCAGAAAATTTGTGGAAAAAGAATTAAAAGATAATACAACTCTTTCCATGAACTTTTTGAAGTACTATCATACATGTCTGTGTGTGTGCTTTTTACAACTATAATTTAACCTCTTGATAATGGTCTTTAGAGTAATAGCCTTAAAAATTATACTGTGGCTTCTTAAATTACTATTATTAACACTAGGAATATCACAATAGTTTGTGCAGTGCTTATGAGAAGCAACAGGAAAAAGGATAGAAAATTTACATTTATATTGAGAACACACTAGGGTTTTGAACATGTTTATCAATGTAATCTTCATAAAAACCCCATGAGGTACTATTTTCCTTATTTACAAATGAGAAAATGGAAATTCAGGCAGTCAACCAACTTACCACTCTTCCCCCCAAACAAACTGCACCCCTAGGAGACAAACCTTCCATTCAAACTCAGCTTTTTATCTTTGTTACAAATTCTATGCTCTTTTTACTACTCCCTCGCCCCCAACCTCCACTCCTGTTTTAATTTGATGAGAGCCACATAGAAGAAATAACACCCAGGAGGACATTTTGCATTCCATTTAGAAAATTATAAATCATAAGGGCAATGAAGACATTTACTAACCACCAATTTATA